GCAATTAGTGCTGTCTGCTCTACTTCGTACAGCTTGATAGTGATGGGACGTTGAAATGCGTGTGAAACATTTTTAAATGACGATGTGAGAGCGAAATGGCGTGGTGGAGTTGTAGCGTTAGTCGGCCTTCGACCACTGTAGGCGCGGTGCTTGAACGTGGCTCTTGTGTGCGCACAAAACTGGTTTTCGCAACCTGATGGCGGCCGCCTCTGCTGTTGCTTACAGGCACTATCCCAATTTTTAGGGAAAGCTCGATGTTTAGGCGTCGCAATTAATGCTGTCCGTTCTACTTCGTACAGCTTGAATGTGATGGGACGTTGAAATGCGTGTGAAATAGTTTATAATGATGACGCTGTATTAACAGCACAGGTACCTTCTTCCTCTACCTGGGAACGATGTCAAATCTGCATCAAAAAGAGGGATTAGAGAGTAGCGTGCAGTGGCCGACAAAGCTAAACAGCCATTTTAAACCTGTCACAAACAGGCCCAGCAGAAGAATGTTTGCCTTTTCAAAAAGCAAGACCATTGGGCTCAGATCACACCCAGCGGGCGGCATATCAAGGCTTCATTAAAAAGGGCGTTACTTTCTATCTCCTGTAGGAATAGGACTGCGCCATCACACCAGTTGGCAGCATCTAAAGACATTTATCACAATTAATTTAAAAATCGTAAAGGAATTTCAAATAATTAATAGTGCGAGGCAGGACGGAAGGAAGAACATGGAGCAGAAAACACTATAACATATTGGGAGCGCGACTAGTAAACAAATGAAATAAGAAAGCTCAGTCAAAAAGTTGAAATACGAAAAGCTCACTACTAAAATATGCGCACGAAAATATCACGAAAAACATTCCTAATATACGCATGTGCAAATTGGATACATTGGAGGCTAACACAAAATACAGAGGCTAAACTGATGCAGAAAGATAGGGAAGGAAAAGAAAAAAATAGCATTAGTCGCAGTATAAATGCGTAATGCCATTCAGTGCGCACACATAGGAGGATACGTCGCACAGGGCATTAGTCTGGATAACAACATTTACCTAACCAATTTGTGCATCAGATTTTTCTCCTGATATACACATGTATTATACATTATATGCAATTTTCTGAAGACTCGAACCAGAAACGCGCACAGAACGCCCAAATGCTACGCACTACATGGGCAGTCTTCCACGCAGCATTGCAGTATTCAGGTATGCGGGAGAACTATCAACTTTCGTTCACCAGGGGGTGGTCGTTTTATTAAGTCCTCTATCAATATTTTGTCTGTCGAGGGCAAACCTGTCAAATGGGGAAAAATTGCATTTGTCTTGGCCTGATTACGAATAATTATTTTGCTCTCTTTCACATCTGCATAATTTCACCAATTGTCTATTTCTTCAACTTCTATGAACAGTGTCTATGCCTTTATCTTGATTGCACATATCGTTTTGTGATGGAGGATTCCTTTTTATTTTTATATGTCCTTACGATATGCACTTTCTTATTTCTCGATTTCTGCGCTGTTATTTGCAAATGTTCTTAACTTATTTTTTGAAATCTTTATCACTTTTTCAAACTTTATCGGGATAGATATTTCTCATCTTTTTCTCTTATCTAGCTGACTCCCATATCACGTGTAGGCTTCTTAAATATTTCTCATTTGTACATAAATATCCTCAATTTATCTACTTTTCGTTAATCTTCACGTGGTTTGACCCGCCTTCAGAGGAGGCAGTCGGCTTTTCTCCCTCATGTGTCTAGTCCATCGAACGTCAATATGCGAACGTCTTCCACAGAGTAACCTATGCATTTATCTAGGTGCATATTTGGTCAATTTTTGACATTGCACCTCGTATTAGTCTACAATTTTGAATGCATATATATTTATGTCAGTTTGTTTTAGAAAAACCTTTGTTGATTTTAATGTCTAGGCATTGCATATGTCACGTTGTTTTCGCTTTTAACTTTCCACACCTCAGTTTTACTAAGTGCTAAAATCAAAATTGATAACTATTTCATTTGGTTAATGTGTTCAATGTCCTTAAGACCATCGTTGGTGCTTTATATTCTGTTGTTTTATATCTAGGTCCTTAATTTGCTTTTCATGAGGGACGGTAAACAATGAAATGTCACTTTCTTCTACCGTATTATCATGTTAAAAACCGAAACTATGTTGTCATGTTGAAGTATAAGTGTCGGTAATTTCATTGCTTATTGTAGTTTTCCAGGTGAAACGCCTATTTGACCGCAAACGGTCCTTAACATCTAGTGTATATTGTTTTAAAATATAATTTTGTCAAGACTTCACGAAAAAAAGAGCTTTGTTAAACAAGCTCTTTTTTTCATTTACCCACCTGTACTTTCCAGTTGTTGAATAATCCGTTGCGACTCAAGGCTACATTGTTTGCCATTGCAGGCTTTGGCTGTCACTGAATACTCTGTTGCAGTCTCCAACCCCAAAAGGGTGCATTGGCGTTGGTGTGTTTGGTCGCTGGTGGTGCACTCCTTCTCCGGAGCATGTTCACTTGCTGCCTTGACTACGTACGTCAGATTGAAGTTCTCACTACCGGCCGCAGGTACTAGTGAAACTGTCATCGACGTTTGGCTTACTTCAATTATTTTTACTGTTGGTGCTGTCAAAGATAATAAATTGAATCAGAAGTTTGAATACGAAACGCAACAAGGCTAAAAAAAAATTACTTTTCCTTCCATACATCAGAGCCGTTCATTCACATTAGCATATTTTTTAACACAGAAACGAACCACAAGGGTACTGATTGCCTTACTTTAAGTCTATCTTATATATGTTGTTGCATTTGCTAAAACCATACAATAATATCCTAATATACACGTGTGCAAACTACTAATTCGGTCATGTTTTGTGTATACCAAAAAGCCGAAAAGCTCAAGGCAATAATCTCGGACATGCATAAAGACGAAATGCACAAGAATTTGCTTACGATTTGGAGCTGTCAGGACACATATTACTTGCTTTGAAATGTTGTGCTTGTTCGAGTATGGATTACGTACAAACATAATCGCATTATATTGTGTTAGAGGTCGCAGACCGTCAAGAATTGCCATGCTAGCACCCTCCTGAGCTGAAACCTCCAAAGTTTCAGTTTGGTTTTGATTACTTGCTGACGCAAAGACATTCAAGTTTCGTAGTGTTTGCGTCGGCAAGCTCCAATTAAATTGAATATGTTCGCCGTCAATTGCTTCGGCTGTAAATGTTTCTGCAGCTAAAATGGTAATCAAAGTTAAACCAGATCAATGAAGTTTACAATTCAGAGATCAAAATGTGTTTACTCATCAGGCCAAGTTACGTCTTTATAAATGAAAAAATTGTTCGCGAAAAACGCCTAAGTGGTTAGTCGACTTTATTTTTTCCCTTTTGCATTTATATAAACAAGACAATAAAAATAATTACTCAAACATTCATGTAGTGTCACGCCTCCCAGGGCGTGGACACTAACAAACGATGTCTGTGATGACGTTTACAATACGCTTATTTTATACATTGTATAGTTAAGTTCGTTACCTTGAGGATATGTACAAACATCCCTTGGGCTCGAAGCCTGTTCGCAGTTTTGCGGATTCTCTTCAGCCGATGGACAAATTTTCACCATAACATTGTACACAGTGTTTGGCACTAAGTCGTTTATTGTGCAAGCGCAGTTTTCAGTATTCAAGGCATGCTTGCATGTGGAATCAATTTTTTCATTTAAAAACACACGAAAACAGCTCTGGGAGTCAGCTTCATATGTCGAACGCCATTGCACAATTATCGCTGTAGAAGCATTGCTAAGGGCTTTGAATCGACCTAAAGCAAAAAATAAGAGTGACTGACGAAGATATTAATAAAACATTTCGTGGTTGTTGCATGGGCAAGGCAATATTATGACCAAGATAAATGAAATTAATCCCCTCGAATACGCAGGTATGGCTTTATTACGCTATTCCAATTCTGGCTTATGTGTGCACACGTAAGCCAGTGCAACTATAATGTTTGGAAAATAAGATACATATGTATCTTATTTTCCAAACATTATAGTTGCTATCATGATACTATCGTAGTAAGATACATATATAAATTAACCATAGTTATTTTATATATATATAAAATAACTATGGTTAATTTATATATGTATCTTACTACGAAAGTATCATGATAGCTATCATGATACTATCATGCATGATAGTATACTAGTATACTATCATGCATGAATATAACTATCATGAATATTATAATATTCATACATATGCGTAACTCATACAAATTCTGGCTTATGTGTGCACACGTAAGCCAGTGCAACTATAATGTTTGGAAAATAAGATACATATGTATCTTATTTTCCAAACATTATAGTTACTATCATGATACTATCGTAGTAAGATACATATATAAATTAACCATAGTTATTTTCCCTGCCAACACCTGGCCGCACCTTGTCGGTGTGGCCAGGTGTGGCCAAGCTCGGCCATGGCCACGCCAAATTTGAAGAAATTTCGGAGGACCTCCCAGTCGTGTAGGCGACCACTTCTGCATTGCAAAGTGCTAAATCAGTCAAGATATATCCTATATCACTCATAAAGTACCACGAATCTTCATATTGTGAGCAGTGGTTATGTCTCGAAATCAGGTGATTAAGGTGCTTTGTTTAAGTGGGCCAATGCGACGCCATTGATCTTTTGCTGTGTCTGGGGTAAGCGTTGCGGTTCTCTCGTCCTGTGATTGTTTATGACATATTAACAAGTAATTCGGCGTCCATTTTGTGTCTGGTACACCTTTCTTTTCCAAGTTATGCCATTTAGGGTATTCGTTATGCTTAATAAGGTGTAGTAACATATGTATTAGTATAATTTAACTTATGATTTTGCGAACAATGTTGAAAGTACAAATATTTGTTGTCTTTGAGTAGTTATTCGTTGCAATGAAGCGTAATTATTACGGCTTTCACCGAAGCACTATATACAAACGGCTCTTGCGCCAGAGGCGGGCATATTATGCTGCTATGGAGGAGCAACCCATCGCATCAACGTCTTTGGTTGCAAATGAGTCACCGGAATTGCAAATGCCCGAACTAATGCCGGAAGTTTCAACGGGTAGGAGTTGTATGTGCCTTATTTACTGGAATACATAGAACAACCTGTAGTGGCTGGGACCGTGGACACAGTGGAAGGCAGATGCTTGACGACGGATTTGCGCGAATTTTGTTTGAGGGCAAACTTGTCGTTGACCACAGCAAGGGATTTGTTTCAGGTGCTGCGGCACTATCATCCGGAGCTACCCATCGACCCAAGGACGCTACTGCAGACGCCTCGGACTTGCGTTACCAAGTCCCTGAAGAGAGGAAAATACGTTCACCTGGGTCTCGAACGCGGCCTACTCGACGAATTGCGCCTTTGCCCACCAACAGGCATTTCTGAAGTGCACGTTCAACTGCACATTGACGGAATGAAGGTATTTAAAGCGTCTGCTCAGTGCTTGTGGCCGATCCTTGCCCGTGTTAACCACCCCGTTGTTGGGCAGCCCTTTGTCGTTGGAGTGTTCTGCGGTTTTGGTAAGCCCGAACCGTTGGAAGACTTTCTGGGCGATTGTGTAAGTGAACTGAAGGGCCTTCTCACCACGGGCCTGCGCGATCCACGTACAGAAAGTGTCATCAAAGTGCATTTGCTCAATGTGATTTGCGACACCCCAGCCCGCTGTTATGTACGACAAGTGAAGGCCCACAATGGCTACTATGGATGCGACAGGTACGCTATTTTGTAATTGCAATCGTAACTGCTGTAGATGTTGTCACAAAGGGAAACATATTGCGAATCGCATGACATTTCCGCAATACAGTGGCCGTCTCCGTGATGACAGGTCGTTTAGGTTGCGAAGTCAGGGACCGCATCATAAGGGCAGATCTCCCTTCGAGGATTTGCCCATCGACATGGTTTCCTGTTTCCCAATTGACTACATGCACCAAGTCTGCCTCGGTGTTATGCGAAAATTGTTGCATACTTGGCGACTTGGTTTTGGTGGCAACTCTGTGTCATTAAACGCATCTACTAAGCTATGCCCTCACTTGAGTAGACAACGCTTATCATTTATTACTTTAGACACTCCACGGCCATTTCGTCATATGTTTCCACGGCTACTATTTCGACGGAATTTAGTCAGCAGGTGCAAAAGGACATGGCTGACATAAAAGGTCAGTTAATAAACACAAATGTCCGGCTAGCGCACTTGAGTAAGACTGTGAACAATCTTCGTAACAAACTATTAGGAGAAGGAACGATTTCCTAGCTGAGCAACTTATGGCTCTTCATAGCAGTGTGCAGCAGATGCAGGCGACACTATCAGATGTTGTCAATGCATTGCAGAGAGCCTCCAGCGCCGGTTCTGCCACATCCTCCTCCCTAAATTTACCGCTGTGTACCGAGGAGGCATACGAAAACTTTCTTCGTCGGCTCAGCGTAGAAGACGGCTTTGCAAACGAGGCGGTATGTGCACATCTACTTGACTGTTTTCAGGTCCGGCAACTGGCCATGGTAGGTGGTCGAAATGAGGCAGACTTCCTCAGAAACCTACTGACGGTTCTATTGGGCCCGCCCTTATGCCACAACTTCTGTTGGGCGGGCGGATCCAAGGAGAAGAAGTCCTTCATGGCCTGTCCACTTTTTTCTGTCCTTAAAGGTAAGTCAAGTTTTTGTTTATTTTCCCGCGCAGATGCAATTGCCCAACATCCCCGTTTTGGCAACTGCACCACAGAGATATTTCGACGGACAGCAATCAGGTGGTTTCATGGATCACAGGACCGGTACGGAGGAAGATCGACACGTCGGCGGAGCGTTCGTCAGGTACAAACTTTGGGGATTTTCATCCACATTTATTTAGACTGCAGAAATCACCACACCTGCCGCCACATGCCCACAATTATCCCCCGCCAAAGAAACGGTAAGCAAATTTATCGAATTGCCAATCCTACACAGCATGCTATTTACTTCATGTGATTTTTACTATTACAGTAGATGTACTTGTACTTGATACGGCCTCAGTTATCCTCGCGATGTTGTCGCAGCGAGCGCGAACTATCTCATTTGAGACAAAGTCGGCTAACTTCACTCGAAGGATGATCCTCAAGCAGTGGTGGTCAAATACCTCCAGTTATCGCTCATCCACCACGCGCAAAGGTCAGCATTCACAACCGTACCGAACGGTTGGGAAAGATTGTTACTGACCACGACTCTCGCAGTAGTGGAACGATAGTAGGCCTTGATCATGGCGATGATTTTTGCCGGTACACCATCTAGCGCCTTTATCCGCCACAGAGACTCACGGTGAACGGAATCGAACGCGGCGGCAAAGTCAACGAAGCAGACGGCCATCGGTTGTTGGTAGCTATGGCGAAATTCGAGAATGCGCCTCAGTGTGAATATCTGATCTGCGCATCCACATCCAGCACGAAATCGGGCTTGGTTGGGCCTCGTCCTTGAGTCAGGCACAGACTGTAATCGCCTGAGTAGGACAATAGCGATGATCTTCGCTGCAACGTCGATGAGACTTATGCCGTCTGAGCAGACAACAGCGGCATCGCTGGGTGTATCCAAGGATTTTCTCAGCTGCCCCATACACTGATGTCTTCAGTGACGACCACTGTTTACTGACTTCTCCGTCGGCTCGGGCTGTAAAACAGGTCCGGATTTCTCTGCTTAGGGCCTCGGCAGTGCTGGCTTGCCGGATTTTTGCGACATTGAGGCGTCTAGGACGTGGCATTTTTGGTGCGGATGAGAGATGAACTTTCAAGCGTGTACGGACGAGGACATGGTCCGACCCATGGGCGTTACCAGTCTCGGCACCACGCATCGATCTGCTATCGTGAACCCAGCTGCGGAACCTTCAGCTGACTACAATGTAGTCAATCTGACTGGCCGTGCGACCGTAGTTTGAATACCAGGTCAGCAGATGTTTTTTGCGATGCTGGATACGAAGGTCGCAGAAACCCCCCTGATCCAAGTCGGACTTTGTACATTTACATTTTTTGACTTACGTATTCAATAAATCGTCCTTCCACAATACCGCCTTCCGACTTTACCATCTTCGGGACGTGGGGGTTCGCTGCGACTCGTTTCGGGCTTTTACGTTAGGCGACCGTTCGTCATGGTTGGCGTTTACGGCCAAAAAATCGAGGCCGCGATGAATGGAAAAAACGAGAAAAAGCCCGCGCGCAAAATTTTTTCCAAGGTGCGGCCAAGTGCGGCCAATGCGTTGATGGCCAGCGCACAGCCACACCATTTGGCCACACCTGGCCGCAGCATAGCCGCACTTGGCCACACCATATTTGCCTCGGCCAAGTGCGGCCAAGTGCGGCTGGTGCTGGCAGGGTTTATATATATACAAAATAACTATGGTTAATTTATATATGTATCTTACTACGATAGTATCATGATAGCTATCATGATACTATCATGCATGATAGTATACTAGTATACTATCATGCATGAATATAACTATCATGAATATTATAATATTCATACATATGCGTAACTCATACAAAAAACCTTGACTTGTGTTAAGGATCTGGTAAATATCAAGGCGGATGCGGATAAATAAACTGACAAAATATTCGAATCTCACTTTAGTACTAAACGCCAACTGATTTCTGACAGAACAACTTACTTACGGCACCTAAACAGGTCGAAGTCAGAAATGATAATAATATGATGATTCTTCCTCCAGCGTAAGCGTATAAGGCCATTCTGCAAACTTCACCTCCCACAAGTACCAATCACAGCCCCAGGCCCCTCGTTACTCCTCACTGACCACACGCGCGTTTATAGATGACTTAAATTATTTACGGTCTAACGTTAGAATAGGCTACTGGTAAAGGTCGTGCATTGCGGAGTAAGCTCATTTTGGATGCTAGTTAGATTAAGTCAATATACTTGAGGGAAGTGCTGCACATCCCAAGGTTATATTTGCCGCAAAATTCGGGGACGGAAACATCAAACGAAGAAAAACATTATCGAAACTGTACAGATAAACGAATTAGCCCAAGTGTTATTAACGCTGACACTGACACATTGAACAGAAGTCAGTCTGAGGGAAATTGCGTTCAAAAAAATTTGGTTTGATTTCAGCTGTCTGAAGAAGCAAAAGCTACAGCGTTACTCACATTTTCGATTTTTTACTCTTAACTTTCTTGTACACCTCATCATTTCTGCACTCTTGTTAAAATTAACAAAAATACACACACGGGGTTTCGACTTGTGAAAAAGCGTGACTTTTGTGTTCTGGTTTCGAGTGTGCTTGACGTCGTTATTTCTTGGCCTTCGCTTGTAACCTCTCAACATTCTTAGCAATTTGTATGAACTGACGGAGACTCCCTCCTCACAAGCCTACTTCATCATATTATCGCGGCACCGACTGCCTCTATTCAACGGGTTCCTCATTGGAAATCTCTCTCGCTACTTGAGAAGATTCTACTTTGCGTGAGTCTGGAACATTCCTTTTCTGATTTTTTGATTCTGTACATTGTTTCTTTTTGTTGGTAAGCACAATTCCCCCATTTAGAGTCAGTTTTTCCTGCATATATTACTGTTCGTTCTTTTTAAGTCCGCGTTTGCGCTACAAAATTTGTGACGCCACTTTTTCCTGCATTTCGAACCTTTTTTTATTTACCATGGCCGGTGACAACTCCCAAAAAGACTCAATTGACATTAACACCCTTTCTTTTAAACTGCTACCGTTTACCCCAAGCAATCCTCGCGTTTAGTTCAGTCTGATCGAGGATCTTTTTGTGATAAGCCGCATTACTGGCGAGCCTACCCTCTATATCTGTCACCGTCGAAGACCTCCTTGAACCCATTCTAGCCGACAAACCGTATACGCTGCTGAAGGAAGCGGTAATCAAACAGGTAGCTAAATCTGCCAACCTTATGCTGCGGGAACTTTTCACGCAAGAATAGCTAGATGATCTGACACCTTCCCAACTCATGCGTCACATGCGCTCACTTCTCGCTGGTAGGCACATTGACGACGCCATTTTTCTTGAGATTTGGTTGGAAAAGTTACCGGTGCCTATGCAACAGGTTTTGGCTATGTTGGACTCGAATACACCTTTAGAGAAACTAGCTACCCACGCTTACAGTATCAAAGAGTGTTACCCTATGGGCGCCTTGTGTTCCACTACTCAACAGCCACCGCCTTCCAAAGGCAAGCCCCATCAGGGCATTGACTCTGATTCAGAAGGCCCACCATTATCAGAGCTCGACACTCCTTATACGGAAAAAGCGTCATGCTGTTGCACAACCCGACGAGCGCCCACATCAGCCGGTCCTCCCAGAACACCCACCCACGCTTATCGCACCGACTACGACGACTTAGGAGACACTGTGCGCCTTCTTTGCACTCAGGTAAGTAACATTTGCTCTGCTCTTAAGAGTTTCCAGCGGCTAGAAAACAGCCATACTCACATCGTCGGTCTAAATCCCGTGAGCGGCGTTCAAAACCCATATGTTGGTATCCTCGCACTTATGGCCCGAAAGCCCGAAAGTGCATACCTCCTTGTTCGTTCGCTTGTCCTCCACAGTTAAAAGACCACGCCAGCCATTAATGGCGACGACTGCTGCTGGCCCGTCGCGACCCAGTCCTCTTTTCTATATTAACGACAAGTCGAGCGGCCTTCGTTTTCTGGTCGATACCGGTGCCGATGTCAGTGTCATCCCGCCTCTAAGGCGTCGCCGCCTCAAGCCTTCGCACCAAATCAGCCCATACGGCCAACGGTCCCTCACTTTAGATCTTGGTCTCCGGCGACGTTTTCAATGGGTCTTTATTGAGGCTGACGTCAAATCGCCCATTATCGGGGGCGACGTATTGTCATCTTTCGGGTTAACAGTCGATGTCAGACACCGTCGCCTCACAGACACCACCACCCAACTCTTTACTATAGGTACCATTAGCTCTGAACGTTCGGTTGGCATTCATCTCACCATCCCCAGCACCCCTTTCGCTGACATTTTGAAGGACTACCCGTCCATCACTTAACCATGTCATTTTACCGAAACCGTTCAACACGCAGTGAAACACCACATTGTCAGGGCAGAGCAACCAGTGCACGCTCGTCCGCGTAGACTCCACCCTGACAAGCGCCGAATACCAAAGAACAAATTTGAACATATGATGAATCTGGGCATTATACGCCCGTCATCTAGCCCATGGTGCCAAAGAAGTCCTCTGACGATTGGAGACCGTGCAGTGATTATCAAGCCCTAAACAGGTCCACACTCCCTGACCGATACCCCATTCCCCACATTCATGACTTTTCCCACATGTTAGCCGGTAAAACTATTTTTTCCAAGATAGACCTCGTCAGGGCGTACCACCAAATCCCGGTCGCTGAGGAAGATATCCCAAAGACCGCTATCACGACACCCTTTGGGCTGTTCGAATTTATTCGCATGCCTTTTGGTTTGCGCAATGCTGCCCAGTCGTTTCAGCGCTTTATCGATTAGATCTTGCGGGGCCTACCATTCGCTTTCGCTTAAATCGATAACATACTCGTCGCAAACTCTTCGGTAGAGGAACGGACCTCGCATTTACGCGTCATATTCGGTTGTTTCCAGCAACATTGTTTGCAATTAAACGTCTACAAATGTATCTTTGGCGTCTCTTCTCTAGATTTCCTTGGTCACCACGTCGACGAGCATGGAAGCACACCGCTGTTGGAAAAGGTGCAGAACATCCTGTCATTCCCTGTCCCCAAGACCCTAACTCAGCTGCGGCGTTTTATAGGTATTCTCAACTATTAACGACGTTTTATCCCTCACTGTGCGGCGACCCTAGCTCCCTCAACTGACCTTCTTTAGTCTAAAGCAAAGCCCATCGAACTTCCTCCAGCAGCCCACTCAGCCTTTGAGGCAGCTAAGAAAGCTCTTGCTGATGCCACTTTGCTTCAACATCTCAGCTCTGATCCCCACGCACAGCTGATCTTGACCACTGACGCTTCCAATAGTGCTGTTGGCGCAGTTCTACATCAACAGGTGAATAAGCAGTTGCAGCCATTGGCTTTCTTCTAACAGAAGCTACAACCGGCGCAGACTCGCTACAGTACTTTCTCTCGCGAACTCCTTGCCATCTACCTCGCCATTCGTCATTTTCGACACCTCTTAGAGGGCAGAGACTTTTCGGTCCACACCGACCACAAACCTCTCACTTACGCCCTCAAGGCCAAGACAGATCGGTACTCGCCCAGGGAAGTTCGTCACCTGGACTATATATCGCAGTTCATTGCAGATATCCGCTACGTCCGCGGCAGCGACACTGTCGTTGCTGATGCATTATCCCGTCCGCGCATCAACACACACATCCGATTTCGACCTGGCGAAGCTTGCAGACCTCCAAACAGCAGACGAGTCCATCGCGGACTTAATTACGTCTACTACTCTGCAGCGTCGCCAGGTACGCTTTTTTTCGGTTGTTCCACCGGCACCCCTCGTACTGTCGTTCCACCATCCTATCGTAAGGTTGTCTTTGACCACTTTCACTCCCTCTCCCACCCTGGCATTCGCGCCGGACGTAAGATAATTGCTGCTCGTTTTGTTTGGCCGAAGATGAATTTTGACATCGCTCTTTGGACTAAACAGTGTTTACCCTGCCAGAAGAATAAAGTACACCTTCACGCATTTTCTCCACCAAGTACATTTGCCGTTCCAGATGTTCGATTCCACCACGTCCACTTGGACTTAGTTGGTCCGCTACCCCCTTCACGCGGGTACACGCATATCCTGACAGCGGTTGACCGTTTCACACGATGGCCGATTGCCGTTCCTATCTCGGATACCTCGGCAGAAAATGTCGCCATGGTTTTTCTGACGCACTGGATTTCAACTTTTGGTATTCCAGCCGCACTTACTACTGACCGCGGAAGTCAATTCCAATCTAGCCTCTTCCATGAGTTCACAAAACTGCTCGGGTGTGCGCATATCACAACCACGGAATATTACTCTGCCTCCAACGGCCTCGTGCCGCCGAACTTGTCTAATGTACACCCCTCCGTCTGCCCGGCGAATTTGTGCAGCCTCCACGGCAAACACTAACATCGCGAGCACCTTCGTACAGCAGTTGAAACAACGCATGGCTCAACTGAGTCCAACCCCCACTCGTCTGACTTCGAAACATGTGTTTGTACACGAGGACCTTAAAGCTGCCCACTTTGTTTTCGTCCAGCATGACGCGGTTCACAAGTCTCTTTGTTCCCCATACTACGGCCCGTATAAGGCTCTTCAGCGGATGGACAAGTATTACGTCATTCAGAAGGCTGACAAAACTGACACAGTCTCCATCGACAGACTTAAGCCAGCCTATGTTGAGTGCATCCCGCCGTCAGCTGTGCCACCGACTTCCTCTGTACCGTCCTCACCGGCTCCACCCGTTTTGGTCCCATCGACTCAACCACCACACTCGACCACCACACCCACCCGTCCTGATTCTTCCTCTACTCTACCACGCACCTCATCTCGTTCTGGTATACATATCAATTTTCCTGCCCAACTCAAAGACTTTTTGATGTGACTTTTTGCATTTTGTTTATCAAGCGTTTTTTTGTACAACAAGCGCTCTGGTGGGGGAGATGTGTGGGTTTTCTCACATTTTCGATTTTTTACTCTTAACTTTCTTGTACACCTCATCATTTCTGCACTCTTGTTAAAATTAACAAAAATACACACACGGGGTTTCGACTTGTGAAAAAGCGTGACTTTTGTGTTCTGGTTTCGAGTGTGCTTGACGTCGTTATTTCTTGGCCTTCGCTTGTAACCTCTCAACATTCTTAGCAATTTGTATGAACTGACGGAGACTCCCTCCTCACAAGCCTACTCCACCATATCATCGCGGCACCGACTGCCTCTATTCAACATGTTCCTCATTGGAAATCTCTCTCGCTACTTGAGAAGATTCTACTTTGCGTGAGTCTGGAACATTCCTTTTCTGATTTTTTGATTCTGTACATTGTTTCTTTTTGTTGGTAAGCACAATTCCCCCATTTAGAGTCAGTTTTTCCTGCATATATTACTGTTCGTTCTTTTTAAGTCCGCGTTTCCGCTACAAAGTAAATGTTAGTGAGCATGTCCGATAAACTATAGACATCCCGTGAACTGGGAAAAACAGACGCAGTAATACTGTAACGATAATATTAAAACTAATATTTAACCCTGTGGTATGTGACGCACTGCGAATTCAAAGGCGAAAGAAGATAGCACATGGGGACGATCACAAATATCCCCTTAGCAGAGGGTGTTTTCTTAAGGTAACCAAGCTTTGCTGAACTGTGCCTGTTGACTACTAGTTGTATTCGGCAGTTGGCATTTTATGAGTTAAAACTATACCTAAATTTTTACATTATTTACTCTCTTAACCTCTCACCGAAATTGAGTTATGTAACCTGCCAAAAGCCTTACTTAATTGAAACCGACCACAAAGTACGTCGAAAGCAAAAGTCACGGGTAGGTAAAAGCACTCGGCTTTTGTATTTACACGTGGCTCAAACAAATCTAGATCAGAAAACATTTACAGCCATATAACACATGATGTCATTGATAGGCAGTTTAATCTGCCCGCATTTTTCCATTGCGACGTTTTATAACGACGTTTGACGCAATATTTTTAACTCTGGAAAGAAGATTCGCCGGGGATATCTCGGATTTTTACCCACAGGAATGTAAACGTCTTTACTAAATAAAATATATCAATCAATAAAAACGTAATTCTTGTTCATGATCGGTTGGTTTACGTCCATACCATGTAAAAATAACTGTTTACATAAGTCTTAGGACAGGTATACATAATATATTCAATACTTTATTCATAGTCATTGAACAGTTAGTCCGTTACGATGAATAATGATCCCGCAGTGAACAAAACTTCTTACAAGAAAGCAAAGTAAGTATCGCAGGATTGACTTTAAACGAGAAAAAGAATGTCGCTAGTGAAAAGGATAAAAAGCGGACAGGACCGACCTGCATGCAGCAGCACATAACGGATTTCACGAAAGCGTATGTATGCAGGTCAGACAGGGCTGGTCTGCATGGGTTTTTGAGTAAAATGTTAGCAACGCCCATCATGCAGGCAGGATTCACACGCCAGATGAGGCCGTTCACGTCAAACTAGCGAGGCGAGAGAAATCCAGACGAGATCGATCTAGGTGCGTTTAGAGTCCTGGGGGTGTAAAGGAGATACGAACAATCGACTGGCAGATGGAGAATACAGAGGATTCTGAGTCGACAAGCCGCGTGGAGGCGAAATGAGGAGATGCCTCCAAGAACGCTGGCGGGACAGGGTTCAAAATCGCTGAGGGCAGAGTAAAATTCAGACAAAGGTCGGCGGTAGGCGAAACAGGGACGGCTAAGAGCATCCACGCCAAACTAGCCAAACAATTCCTTCGAGTGAATTAGTCAGGAAGGACATTGCATAATGTGAGGGGCGCGATGCATGAACTGTAAAATCAAAAAACCAACATTTCTCATGAGGGATCTCATGAAGCAATAATAAGCACAAAAGGAGGAAATGTGAGCGGAGACGGTTATTTATTGCTGACATATAGCATTCCCGATAGCCCTTCATCACTTCATACAGAAATATGCCCAGGAAATATATCCGAGTTCTTCGATTTTGCATTCTGAAATTGAGTTAAGCTGCTTAGTTTAAATTATGCTGTCTTGTCCATCAATACTGATAGCTTTCTGAATTGTTTCATCATACCTTGCCTCGTCCTTATATCCCCGACGTTTCGGCAACTATCTTTACTATGCAATGGGATTAATGTTTTCTTTTGCTTTTTCAACATGAAACATCAGGCAACTGTTCTCCGAAGACTAAGGGAATCTATGCTCCATTTTAAACCCGTCGTACATATGAAAAATGGATCTAGGAGAGCTCCATAATTCTAACAATTTTGCGGCTCGTTACGGATCAATTTTTTCTGTCCCGGGTGCACTTTTTGAAAGGAATCTGCAAAGACTTAGCTTTGCAAATGTGAGAATCTTATGCCTCTTATTGACATGATTGCTATTGAGACCGAAAGCGGGCACAAACGAACTTTTAACTTTGTTTTATAGAACGTCCCTAGGAGTAGACAGCTAATCGATGTCGCCGTCCACTTTCTATATTCATGCGCCTTCAACTTTCGAGTCGCTGAAGGTAAAGACTTTCATCTAGGGGCAAAAATCCACTAATTCTACCTTTGCCGTTTTCGTCGATAGAAGTGGACCCTATTTTCTCCCATTTGGAGCGCTCAGTTGAATATCTTTTGGGTAAACAAACTTTTTATTGGTTGGGATAAAACTCCAATGCAGCGAATAGTTTCTCCACATTAATAAACGTAATGCCACCCCTAGAATTCTGACAATATGTCATTCGCCTCTGATGCAGATTTTCCATCCGCGTCAATTAAGCCTCCTCCCAATCTGGAGTGGCCCCAGTTCCATCTAGCTCTTTGACTGAACACATTGTCAGTTATTCCAATGAAACCTGTCACTGTAAAACACCTCCAAGAAGTAAGAATTTTTCAAATGCTGATCCCAAATTTACTAGGGCGCTTGATCTTAACAGTAAGGATGATCCAATCCTAGAAGCTAAAACGACCTACCCTGCCAAGAATAATGAACTAGTTAATAATGCTGGATCTTACCTATCCCGTTCTCGCTCATGGACACTCAGGTCTGACCTTGTGGTTAGGTCAAATAAACCAGATGATAGTTCACGAAGATCGTTACCTGTTGCTATCCCGAATTCTCAAATAACGTAAACGCCACAGTTGTGAAGCCCACTTGTACACCTGCCTCCAAAATGCAAGTATCTAGGGTTGCTGATAATTTTTCCAATGCCATTGCTAGTCCGACTCCCAAAGAATTAGGCCAACTCCTAAGGTAAGCTGTGTCTCAAAATCATTTACCCCATTATCTAACATAAACTACCCCTCATATTATGCTCACAATTCACAAAATCCTATTTTCGGGCCACCTTTTTCTCCAACTAAACAAAATAGACTTTCTCGTTATGGGTCCCGGTTAAATGATTTACATACAATTATGCATTTCTAGTTAGTGCTAATATCTTTACAAATTTTAGACCACAGCAACTTTGTTCTCCACCGATTGCTTCATCTTAACAGTTTAATTTTCCACCACTAGCTATTCCTTTTATATAAGTAGCAGTTGACGGAGCCCGCATATTAGGAATAGGCTTAGCATAGTCTCTCATAACGAAAGATCAGTAGGACAAATTATGTCACAACTAAGAAGTATGGCTGTTGAGTTTGACTCAGTTGTTGTGTGCACTAAAGAATCTTGGGATCGCCCTCAACTTCCAGATTCGCACTCAATAAATTAACCCTTAATTTATACCGCCAGGATCGTGTGGAAAGACGCGGCGGTCGTTGCCTTCTTAACATCAAAGTCTCACTTGCACAGTTGTCTTATAACCTAAACATTTCCTCTTTCTCCGGAAATTAATTTTTAGATTCGGCAATCCTTCCGCAAAATAGGAAAGCCTTAGTCGGATGCGCATATAATCCACGCTGTTACTCCGGAAATAAAAGCAAACTTTGTGAGTTCTTTGAAAAATTGCAGACACTTATTCTGATATCAAGATCATCGTAGGTGATTTTAATTTTCCAGAAATTGAAAAGCACATACGTAGATTCTCTCGTTAATACCAGAAGGTTCAAAACAACATTCACTTTTAAATCTTGTCTCAATTAGTCCACGCTCCGACCAAAAACGTTCGTGTATTAAATTTGATTTTATTAATGGCGCATTCCCTCTGTTTATGGATTTATATTGTGTCGTTTTAGATTGTGATTAAGCATTAGTTCATTGTTGCCTTCCTGTTGCCAATTCCGCTAAGCCAACGGTACAATACAGCATTTTTGACTTCGTTAATATTAACAAATAATTTCTAAACGTTTTTACATACAATCATAATTGGAACAAAATAATTTCTAATAAAGATCTAAATGTTTTCAAAAATCTATGACTTTTTTCAAAAGACATTCTTAACTAAAAAAATAATTCGTTAATAAAAAACAAGTTGGGGTCCCATCAAAGCAAGTAAAAATCAATTTACAGGCGAATTGTAGACGAGGTAGGCAGAACCCGTACAAAATGCAATTTATAGTTTCTGACTTTGTAGTCCGTTAAAAATGATGAGCAAGAGGTGAAAAAAAACGCCACTTAAAAATTTAAAAATTTGTGAATTAATTTTACGGGAGAAGGAACCGCAGCTAATAATAATAACAGAAAAATGCGGGCAGGATTGGCCTGCATGTAGCGAAATACAGCTCAATTATAATCGGACATGTTCAGGGCAGAAATAAAGGTCGGCCTTGAGGGGTATATTTGCGGGTCGGACAGGACTGAACTGCATGTTTAATTGTATTAGGGATTGATATTTGACATTGTCAGGGCCGGATAGATACGCCGAATAGGACTATTCGCGTCAACAATGTCCGACGAGAGGAATCCAGACGCGATCGGCCACAGTACGCTTCGAGCCCAGCCGAGGAGTGGGGAAGGGAG